AGTGCGGACTGAACTAGGCAAAAGAACCTTCTCCTACTCTGCTCCTGTTTCCTGGAATATCTTACAAAAACATCTGACGCTCTCAACCTTGACCTGACCTCTCTAAGTGGCTTTAAGAATCTGTTGGACTCCTGGCAGGGACCAATGCAGACATGTTCCTGTTTTTAGTTTTCTACATTTGCCTTAGAATTTAGCTGTTTTTTTGTTGATTTTCTTTTTTTAGTCATCCTATTTGTCAATAAAAATTAAAAAAAAAATCTGTATGACTTTTTATAACTGTTTATTGTTGTCGCTGTTGTGCATTGTTGTCATCATTCTTTGTTGAAATCAGGTCTATCTTGTAAATGAGTCCACAAGGCTCAGTGGGATTTACCTGTCTAAATAAAGGTTGAATGAAAAAAAAGAGACGTTAGTGTATTCATCAGTTTGGACGTAACTGTGATCATGCAGATGCTGCATGCACAATGAATGCAGCTGAGCCCTGTCAGTGTTGCCAGATAAATTTAAAATGTCTTATTTACCCACACCTTTTCTGTGCACATGTTCGACAAACACAACACACACCTCATCTTAGAATATCTTTACTCAGCACATACAGTTTAGGTCAAAATACTATCATTTAAAGCCACAGTACTATAGTTCATCATTTCTTATCTGGCAACCTGACTGACATGGAAACTACATCGTTTTTGTGTAAACTTGCTCGTTTTGTTTATTACCCCCAATAAACATTGAAAAAACACTTAACGTTTCCAGAGGTTCGTGTCATGTAAACGGGGCCTTATAGTAGGTAGTAAAGTTGCATTCGGGCCAAAAGAATCCGATCTGACCCCAGCCCGCAGTCATCATCTCCAAACCCCACCCGACATGACGAATTAACAGTAATTACAGTCAGAAACTGGAAAAAAAAACTGACATTTTTAATTAGCTAATGATGGTCAGAGACGTGCGGTTGAATAAAAGGGACAGAAGATCGAAGCTGAGGGGTATTTGTCCTTTCATGGCCGTCAAAGAGCATTAAACCCTGTTTCTACCTGCATTCTTCTGCATTACTCAGACACGGACCACTCTGACATGTCTGCTGTGTGATCTCACCTGTTTAGGTTGTCGGCGTCGCGCGTGTCCACTGAGTGCAGCGGCTATATGAACGTCCATTTGGGCGACGGATCACTTCCTGGCAGTATAGTCCCATCTGAAGCTTAACTGAACTTTATTTTACTTCTTTCAACTGGCCAGTCAGCTCGTGGTGAAATGGCCGCGTGTGGCTGGTGGATGTGTGGCTGGTGGATGTATGGCAGGCCATGTTACCATATAATTGGATCATAGCTGATCCGCTGACCCAACCAAAAGCCCGACACCGACCCGGTCCACCCATCCAGCACATTATCATGGCCCGGCCCGCCCCAAATTCAGGTCGGGCCGGTCTTCGGGCCCGGGTTAGAAATGATAGCTCTAGTAGGTAGATCACCTTGACTTGGTCATTTTAAAAGTAGCTCCATGATGAAAAAGTTTGAGCACCCCTGCTCTACATCACCTAATCAAACAACAGGTGCATTACCTGCTGACTCGTCATTTCATCTCAGATATCCAATGAAAACATTTCAGCTCACTCATTTATTGCACCCACTCTCATGCACCCTCTGTTGAAGCTTCCTGGCTCTCCTAATATGATTTCATATGAGTTCAATCACTTGGATGTAACTTCCCACTGGCTAACTTTAGTTCCAGGTAGGAACTAAGAAGGACTCATATTCTACAAAGCACTACACGCTGAAATGGAACATGTTTCCACTCATCTTCCCACCTAGCCACCCCACCCCCCCCACCCCATAATGCTTAGACAGACTGTTTGCAGAGATAGAGCAAGAGAGAGAGAGAGAGCATTGCCGTGGATTATGTTTCTCAGTTCAGTTTGTTGGAGCAGCAGGCACCACTGAGGCTACACCAAATGCACACATCCAGAGCTGACGAGAGGACAGTTGAAGGCTTTCTTCTTGTTAGACAAGCTGCGGTTTGGGACAGCAGTTGGTCATAAAAACATCATGCTACCATGGTTCTGTTCCTGCTCCTGCACTGTTCTGTAGGACGTCTGAGGAATACCTTATTGCACAGATATTCCAGTGGATTATTGCTCTTCAGGATACAACTTTTGAAGTTTGTCTGTGCAAGTGGAGTATTTAGGAGAGAGACGTTGTGAGTGTGTTACAGTCGGGGAGCACGTCAACATGTGGAATAATTTATTGTGGTCCTGAGATATTTTGCTATTTTTTTGGTCTGCAGATATCCAAGCTGTTTGTTTAGTAGATTTATTAATTGCAGTTCACTTCATTAGATTTTTGGGTCTCCAGGCAAACTCTGTGCCCTCTGGGTCTGTAGCCACGCTGGTGGTATAACAGGTGTGGGGGGGGGGGGGGGGGTACAAGTCTTGGCCCTCACCATGATGATCAAGGAGACATCGTTACGGTGGGATCCTGACCTGAGGGGAGAACTGGCATTTCTGGCCAGGGGGTGTGACTTTGTCCTCCCCTCACGCTTCAAGAAGAGACTCAAATCTTTCCAGCAGCAACAGGTCAGTCAGTTCATCAGGCAGGATAAAAAAGTATAGACTCAATCAGAAGAAGTTTTAAAAATGAGCATTGGATCTTATTTTTGTAAATTATCTGTTTATGTGTGAAAATTTACAGGTGACAGTAATCTGAATACAGTAGAAGCTTTTCTTTACCCTTACACAAACATAGTTGCTGCCATGGGCAGCAAACTATTTGGAGACAGATATTGGCAGGATATTTATAGCGTTTTGGGAGTGGAGCAGGAGTAGAGTGACAGAAGAGAAGCACTGATACAGCTGTTCTGCTCAGTACACACGATACGAAGGCCTGAGACGAGCCACCAAGGACGACCTGCTGGATTATTTAACATACAGTCATTTGTTGTTGGTCTTTGTGCTGTGCTGTGAAAGCTGCAACTTTTCAGTGCAACCCTTGAATGAGTATTGAATTCAAGATTCCAAGTGATCAAGTTACTATACAGTCTTAGCAGTGCAAGCTGATGGGAACTGGATCATATGGATAGAGACTGGATCCTTGGTCATAAAATTATTTAATCCAAGTCTTTATCATGAAATCCAAGGCATCTTGGATTTCAAGAAAGGAGAAGAAAAAAAAGTTTAACAGATTTAATCATTATTTCCTTATTAGTTCAGATGGCACAAAACATTATTTCATTAAGGCTGCATAAGCATTGAAGCACACACTCCTCTCCACTTCACAATTTTTGTCCAGCTTCTTGTTGCACAGCTTTGAAATGTGCAGGTTATACACCAAAACGTGCAGCTAGATTAAACTAAGTTGACTAAGAATTTTAGTGGTGGTACAAGGCACATTGTAGACACATAAAAATTCAAATGTAAACTATTAACTTCTAAGATTTGAAGTTTCTGCATAGCAACTTTGTTTTAGGCCTATTTTTAGTCAGTTTTTGTCTGTCTGTCATTAATTTGATAGTCAGAGAGTGACAGATACAGATTTGTTGTTACTATGGTGATCACCGGCAGCAGCTTTACAATTTCTTTCAATCCTGGTTTTCTTTACACATATTTTAAAGTTCATACATGACAATGTAGGCAATAATTCATAGCTTAGATTGCAAAGCTGTATTTGAATTCAATTCAATTTAGTTTATTTCTAAAGCGCCGGGTCACAAAAGTTATCTCGGCACTGAACAGAAACATTCATATACATAAAAAAGACAATTAGTAAAGTTCTTTATCTAAGGAAGAAGAAGACTGTGATGAATCTTCATTTTGTCACAGTCTCCCATCCCGAGCAAGCACAGAGGAGACCGTGGATAGGAAAAACTCTCTTTAACAGAAAGAAACCTCCAGCAGAACCAGGATCAGGATGAGTGTCCATCTGCTTCAACTGGCTGGCTTTGAGAGGACAGGAAGTAGAGTCAAACACAGAATGACAGGTCCAGGTGTACTTTCTATAGGAGGAAATACAAAAAACTTGTCAAGATAGAAATAATTATGAATACACGCAGGTAGAGTAGAGCAAATAAAGACAGCATCAGTGTGAAGAAATGTGGTCAATTTGTCCTCCAGCAGTCCAACCCTATCGCAGCATAACTAAGGGATAGCTCAGGAAACCCAAGCTGACCCTCGCAATAGGATTCATCCGAAAGAAAAAACTTATTGCGATCCTTGGTGTTTAGACCCAAGACACGGGAAGCAGGAAGTAAATTGAAAGGAATTTATTTAACAAATGAAAACAAAACGGCTGACGAGGCAACAAAAATAATATAAATGAGCAGGGAGCGAACAGGAACATGACAGGCTGAGGAGAATACTGGGAGGACTGGGACGTCTGAAGCATTTCAGATCATTGAACGGATGTTTGAGTGGTGTACAGGAAAGGTTTAAATAAGGCAGAGGAGTGTGAGAAATGAAGTGCCCCTGGGGTGATTACTGATTGCAAACTGTGTGAGTGATGAGTGGCTGGAGAGACTGACTGAAGAGAGTGAAAATGGTAGGGAGCACAGAGTCAGACACAAGAATCAGAAAAGGAAATGAAGACAAAACAAAGAAAACACACAAAAGGATAGATCATGTCACTTAAGCCTAATCTTAAAACTGGACAATGTGTCATCCTCATGGACACAAACTGGAAGTTGGTTCTACAAGAGAGGAACCTGATAACTGAAACCTCTGCTTCCCATTCTGTTTTTGGAAAATATAGGAACCACAAATAAACCTGCAGTCTGAGAGAATGGAGGCAGTAGCTGCATTCACACCCTTTACATTTTCTTCAGATATTTTTAGTTTCAAAAGTTTTGTTTAACTGAATTTTTACTCACAAAAGTATTTTAAAAAAAGGTTTATTTTATTTTAAAAAATCTAACAAACATCCATACCTTGTACATGATGGGAATCAGTATGACCGAATCAGCTCCAACCATAGCTGTCCATTTCCACATCTGTTCTTCTCCTTTTATCTGCTCAGGTCCAGTCCAAACCAGAAAAGAAACCTGGAACACCCCCACCATTGCCAACCACAACTACTCCAGCCCACACACAGCTTTTACCAAGTCCTCCTCCATCTCCAGTGATAGTCACCCCCACTCCTCCTGCCATTAACATTCCCAGGTTCTACTACCCCTGTGGGCTCCCTACCCTGGTTCCAGGTACTGCCAGCGCTGATGCAGTCATTGCTGCCATCGAAATGGCTTTCACCGAATTTGAGGAGGAGAAATCAGACATTTATGAAATGGGAAAGATCGCCAAGGTGAGAAGTTCAACTCAGCATTTTGTTTCACTTATTCTGCTTTTAAAGTCACGAAAAATGTCAATAATGAAAAAAACTTACTTAGTTGTTGATATTTGATTTTTTTTTTCCAACTGATATTTGACAAAGATCTAAATTTATTTCGTCTAGTATTCACATTGCTATTTTTTTCTAGACAACAAACTAGAGATTGATCAGTTAATTTTTTTAATGGTTGAAGTCAATGCTGAATTTTAAGAATCAGAACAATTATCCTGATGCATGCTCAATAATCCAGGTAGAAAAATCCAAAAAAGTTCAGTCTGGTCCTCTGGACATTCAAAAAAACCAAAAACAAAACAAAGCAAAAAAATATAGAAACGTTTCGTCTCTCATCCGAGAGACTTCCTCAGTCTGAGGTGCTGTCTTCAGCTCAGCCTCTTAAATAGCACCTTCTCAGAGTGGATCAACCAGTGAGAAGGTGCTATTTAAGAGACTGAGCTGAATACAGCACCTCAG